CCATCAAAGGTCACCACATCCACCGGGCCAAAACAGGCTGCCCAGAGCTCAGCAGCTCAAGAATGAAGATGGCCTGTGCCCTCCCTGCCTTATGACAAAGCCTGCAGAGGCCCATCCTACAGCGGGTCCTTTCTCTTCTCAGGGCTCTCCAACACAAAGACCGGCTGTCATTTCCCCCGCCGGCTGATCCCACTCTAGTGGAGGGCTGAGCATGGACCCTCTACTCCCTCCATCTCCCCAGGCAGCAGCATGCCTTTCATTACCCTGACATTCCTGGCCAACAGCTCAGTGAACCAAAGGTGCTCCAGGGAAGAGCCAAAACACCTCCCCAACCTCAGAGATCAGGTACAGCTCCTCTGGGCAAGCCATCAGCCCTTCCCTGCCACGTGCCAGCCCCACAACAGGACGTGGCTCCTACCTGTGAGTATGGACAGAGTGGTGGTCTTCCCAGCACCGTTGTGTCCCAACAAGACGGTGATCTGCCCTTCATACATGTTCACTGTTAAGTCCCTGACCGCCTCTTTCATCTTGTTTCCCACTTTGAAGACCTGTGGAGATCACGGTAACGAACTGATGCTGCGCCTGAGGCAAGTGCCCCCTCCGCTCCACCCAGCAGTCCAAGCCCATGATGCTCACGTGGTGTTGGCATTAGACAACAGGTCTAACTCAGGTTAAATTCAGATGTCAACAGGTTAAATACAGATGTCAGCGCATCCGTAAGTACCTAACACTTCAGCCCACAACAAAATGCAGCCAGCTGTCGGGAAGGGCCTTACCTGCCTTGCAAGCAGCCAAGCAGCACAGCCCTCGGCAAAGAGGGCAGCCAAATGATAAGGAAGCTGCCTGCAGGCAGCAGTTTTTACAAAAACGTTATGATGTGTTTGTGCCGTGCTGGGCAGTCGGTACCTTGGAAAGGTGCTTTATTTTGATTCCTGACACGAGGTCGGCAGGTTCCTCCTCGATGTACTGGCTCTTCAGAGCTTTCTCGGGGTCCTCCTCCTCCTCCTTCTCTTTTCCCACAACAGTCCTGGGACGCCCGCACCAGTATGAGGGCTGATGGAAGAAGGGGCGGGGGAGAGAGAGAGAGAGAGAGAGAGAAACTCAGGCACAGGCAGAGATCATCTCTTCTCCCCAGCCTTGGCCATCCTCCTCCTCCCACGCAGACGCCTCTCCCAGGGATCTCCAAGACCACTCTCCTTGGCCTGGGAATTGCCAACCAGCACATCTTCAGCAGGCAGGTCAGGCAGAGGATGAAACTGCTCCTCCTGCCCTGCTGCCTTCCCCTGGTTCTCCCTTACAGCGGGATTGCCTGTGATGACGCAGGCAGCTTTTCCCCATCTTCGTTCCCATGGAAAAGGTCAGTACTTCGACGAGAAGCAAAATTGCTCAGGCAGAAGCACCCTGCGCAGAAGAGCCCACACAACGGATGACCATGCCCTCTAAAAACCTTGACATACACTAAGTACAAAATGCTTGGTGTCCAGCTGCTGCAATCACAGCCTTTTTTTTTGACCTGGCTCTCCAGCAATGAAAAGAAGTGTTCGGGACCTTAAAACCCTGTTTTAAGGTTAAGCTATTCAACAACTCCCGGACCCAAAATCAGCGTCCTGCTGTGGCTTTTGGCAAACAGCTGTATGTCCGCTACTCTGGCCTAGCTGCAAGAGGGAGTGGGATGCTGGAGCGAAACCATGCCGGGATAAGGAATTTAGAGGGGAGAGGAAAAACCTCCCGACCAAATAGCAAGGGATACGGCCACAGGATCAAAACTGGTTGTGTCGCTGAAAAAAAGCCGAGCTGCAGTGACCACCGCAGCTACAGCCACTGAAGACGACGCCAAGCATTTGACTTGGCAGAGCGAGGGCAGCTCAGCCGACGCGGTGACAGTCATCGCCCGTCCCCTGGCAGTAGCACGGGGGACGCAGACCGCCCAGCTCCACCCGGAGGGCAGCGCTCGGGGAGTTTCAAATGACTGGATCCGGTTGCTCGCACATGGGGCTTCTCTCCAACGCCTTCGCTTGGGGCACGGGGACACTTAACACCAGCCTGCACGCCAAGAAGCGTCAGGGCAAAGATTTAAAGCCAAGTCGACCTTCCTATTCAGTAAAAAAAATACAGCTGCGTCAACCTCTACTAAGGATGTGCTGCAGACCCCTTGATTTTGGAGGCCAGATGGTGCCACCCTCGTACATCAGTCTAGGCCACTGTGTAGCGCAGAAGCAGGGACCATCCCCGAGCGGTGCCCGTCAAGCCCACTGGAATGGGTGCGTAAGCAGTGCTCACCGTCAAGAAGAAGTACCATGGCTGAGGCACGCCGTACTCCCCTGGAAAGACGGCCTCCACGTACCAGGCCACCACGCCGTAGAGTGCCGAGTCCAGGAGCAGCATCCCCAGCACCTGGGCTAAGGTAAAGTTGTCGTCCACGCTGACGGGCTTCATGAGGTCCCTCCACTGAATGCCAGTCCCTGCAATGCACACGGGGCACTGCCTACCTCTGCATCCCCAGAAGGACAAGGCGTCCTCCAAGACCGTCAGAGAGCATCCCCTGTCTTAATTGACTGCTCGGTAACGAGGAGCACATGCACAGCTCTACAATCCCTTCTACAGATGGAGGGAAAAGCAGCAGCAGAAAGCGCACCGACATCTCAGGGCTCCTCATCACACTTCTTCCCACCACACCCTCTGCAACTGCCCTGGGGAGAAGCAATCTCTTCTCCAGCCATTGCCCCTTCGTCACTGCAGACGCCTTTTTAGTGCCATCACTTTGCAAAAGCACGGCCTCTACTGGAACCAACAGCAAATTCTAATGAAAATCACAGAAATTAGGGAGGAAGGAAACGCAATGGATTCCCATCCGTTAGAACAGAATTAATTTGGTAATTATAGCGATGATGGCATTTTGCACAGCCCAGACTGCCAGGGGCCTGGATTCGGAGGGGCAGAGCCTTCGTGCTGATAAGACCTGTGGGAGCCACCAGCAATTAGCCCTCCTGCTCTCATCAGGAGCAGGAAAGTTCCTCTCCCTGACTTCTTTCCATCCTTCACACCACAGGCAAGCCAGTCCCAACCCACCACAAAAAAAGGCTGGTGCTCCCGAGGGATGGGAGGCACTTGCTCACCTTTTCCTTCGAACATGCCTATGAGCTGTGCCCCCATGGCCATGGCCACGTTGGAGATGAGGCAGGACGCCAGCTTCTGGCTGTGGGACATCAGGTCGTAGCGGGGCGAGATGAAGAAGTAAGGGATGTAGGAGAAAAAGTAGAGGAAGCCGCCAGCGGCAGCCGCAACGTTTGCTGCAAGCACAGAGGAAAGCGGGAGGGAAAATGTCAGTAATACGGTGACGCCACCGAATATTTCTCACCAGCTTTCCACCCACGGAGATCCAAGGCTTTTGCACCATGCGTGGTTACAGGGGGGCAGGACGAGGACGTGCCCATGTCCCATGGCAAGGCAGGAGCCGTGCCGGATCCCGACGCTGCCGTGGGCAGCTGCAGAAGCACCCATCCCATCCCAGCCCGGAGCACCCTGGGGCCAAGACAGCCAGAAGATGCCCTAGCACATCAGCTTGTCTGGTTTGGGAAGCAACAGCACACACACCCCCTCCCACGCAGCGTGGGGAAAAGGCAAACAAAAAAGGGAAGAAAGGCCCCCCACTGCCACATGTCACAGCGTTACTCAATGCAGAGCCCCGTGCAACCTCACGTAACTCTGGAGCTGGCCCTGCTTCGAGCAGGATGGACCGACGACCTTCAGAGCTGCCCCCAACCAAAATTAACTACAGGTTTTACAGCACGAGGCCCATAACGCCGCCCCAGCTGCACGGGTCACGACGCAAGGAGGCAGCCAGGGAGAGACTCACCTCTCGAGAAGAAGGTGCTCACCATGAAGTTGAAGGAGATGGAGGAGATGGAGAAGATGGCGAGGAAGGCAAACACCAGCGTGGGGTCGCTGTTGGTGAGCACTGCTCCCTGTTCGCTCACCTAGTTGGGTGCCCCCCGGGGCGGGTGGGGCCGGCCGGTGGCGGCAGGCACGTGTGGGCAGCCGAGACCTTGTGTTCTCCATGGGTTAAAGCCAAACTGAGAGAAGGCTGAGAGCACCCAGGCTCTCCTAGACCCCTCCAGAGGGAAGAAATATGGGTTGCCCTTCCATGATGCAGGGTGTAAGAGGCAGGGGACACCTTGCTCAGTACCCAGGCAGCCACCTCCTGCTTCTCATGGTGTGGGTAGAAGCAGAGGGGAGAGCTCAAGTCCCTCCAAGGGCAGGCAGAGCTGCAGGAGTGGGGTGGTCCTGCTCTGCATCAGGCTGCCTGGGCCTCCCCAGTGCCCGTGGGGCTCCCACCCCTCAGCTGCCTCCTGGGGAGGTCACCCCTGCAGCTGGGGGGGGCAGCTCTGCCCACCCTGCTCTGGAAAAGTTCCACTCCAGCCTCCGTTACACACGTGGAGGAGTCCTGAGATACCAGGATGGTCCAGCCCACGGCAGAGGAGCCTTGTCACCCCTGTGCCCTGCCAGCACAGAGCTTCTGGCCTGCATAACAGTGGCCTGGGGAAAGTCACTCACCTTGACACAGAAGAGCACGGTGACGAAAAACACGGACACAAGGAGGAAGAGGAAGAACATGAGGAACCAGGCGCTCCAGTGCAACCAGTTGCTGAGGCCCATCATGTGCATGTACTCCTGCGGGGAGGTCACGCCGTCACCCAGGGCTGCACCCAGACTTCCTGAGCACGGCCAGGGCAAGGTGAAGGCCCTGGTCAGGGCGGCGGTGGCTTTGCCCTGCGGCATTAGCGAGGAGGGTGCCGGCCCCCAGGTGC